CACTTCCAATTCATAAATGCACAATAGAATAGCCAAGCAGAAGAAATACAGAATAAAAGTTACAATGCCGAATCCCAAAACTCACATCTTTCACCACCAAAATCGACATTTACACATAATTTCTAACTTCAACGTGGAAATTGAGCAACCAGTGAAGCAAACATTTTGAAGAATTATAAGAAAATTATAATAGATTGGAAAGAGGAGTGTTTGGCATACCTTGGAAGAAGGAAAAGAAGTTCGAAGAGGCTGAGGACGGTGAGCAACGTTGCAGAGACTCTGAGACCTCCAGAAACGATGCGGCGGCGGCAGTGGTTTCAGCGGGATGCGGCGACGGCGGCGACTTCGGTGGGGAGCGACCACAGTGGCATAAAGGAAGAGAGGGAAAAATCGAGGGGTGGAGGCGCGGATTGAAATTTGTTTAAACAAAATAAGATTTTGCTGAAAACCACCGTGTTTCAATTGTAATAATAATAATTATTATATTATTATTATTATTATTATTATTATTAAATAAATAATAAAGTGTGAAAGATATAAAAATTGAAAAAGAGAGATCACCTCGTTAGTTTTATATTTTTGAATTCTAAAACAAATTATTTAACTCAGTTTGAAAACTATTTTATTTTTCCATTATATATTTTTTTTAAATTAGACTTGTTTTCTAAAAAATTCTTTATTATATTTTTCGTTTTTCTTTCAAATACATTTAAATTTTTAGTCAAATTTTAGAAATAAAAATAAGTTTTTATAAATTACTTATTTTCATTTTTTAGTTTAGCTTTTATTTTAAAAAATGTTATTGAAAATTTGTTAACCAGACAAATGTAAAGTAATAGTTATAAGATTAATTTTAAGAAAGTGCAAATAAAAAATAAAGTAGTTATCAAACAAATTATTAATAATATAAAAATCTTTTTATTCACACCATCGTAATCTAACATTTTCTATTTATAGAAAAAATTAATTAATTAAAAATTTTGTACATTAAAAAAATAAATCTTAAACAATTAAAAAATGCTAACATGTTAGCCATCAAATCATGGGTAAGTTTATTATATTATAATAAGTATTCGCAAATGTGACAGCTATTTTCAAAGTTTTGTTTTTTAAAATATTATTATTTTCAATATTAATTTTTAAAATACTATTTTAGAAATAATACACCCAATGTTTTTATAAAAAAAACGTTCGGATAAAATTACTTATCACAACATTTTTAATAAAACGTTTGGATGTTTTATATTATCCCAGTGTTTCCACAAAAACTTGGGATAAGATTAATTCTCTCAATGTTTTTAGTAAAACGTGTCACCCAATAAGGGATCTTTGTCCTACGTTTTTATGAAAACGTCGGAATATTTAGTGCACAATTTTGGTAGGTTTGAACTTATAAATTCATATTCCCAATATTTGTTGCAAAACGTGGTAATAAATAGCATATATATCGACGCTTTTTATAAAACGATGGGCATCTGATTACTTCTCGTAACGTTTTTAATAAAACTTTGGGATACAATATGTTATTCTAACGTTTTTACAAAAACGTTGGGATAAGATTACTTGTCTCAACATTTTTAATAAAACGTGGGGATGAGTAATCTTCTCTCAACGTTTTTGTAAAAGCGTGGGAATAATGGATCTTTCTATAGTTTTTATTAGAACATCGGAATATTTAGTGCGTAACATTCATGTATTTGAATTTATCAACCCATGTTCTCAACGTTTGTTGCAAAACGTCAGAAGAAATAACATATATTAATACTTTTTAAAATGGTTGTCGAACTAATTCTAATGTTTTTATAAAAACGTTCGGATCAGATTACTTCTCACAACGTTTTAATAAAACGTTAGGATACACGTTATTCTAACGTTTTTTCAAAAATGTTGGGATAAGATTACTTTTCTCAACGTTTTTATAAAAGCATGAGAAGAAGAGATCTTTGCCAAACATTTTTATTAAAACGTTAGAATATTGATGCGTTTGAATTTATTTGCCTATATTCCCAATGATTTTTTTTTTTCTCAATAATTTTATAGAAACGTCGGCAAAACTTATAATTGTCCCTACTATTTTATTTTCGTCGGGAGAAAACGTTTTCTCCCAACTGACTTTTTAAATGTTGAGAAAAATGTCATTGGGAAAGTAATTAATTCTTGCAGTGAATTAGACTTTTGCTCCAGCAGCGAAAATGGTGATACTTTTCTTCACGGTGATTGAAGTCGTATCCCTCAATTTTGATGCTTCTCCCTTCAAGATTCTCTGATTCCTTAAAAACAATAGCGTGCACCGATGCCAAAACATTTGTTTTCCATCTGACCCAATGCTTCACTGCCTGCACAAGATATTCCCACGAATATGGAACTGAAATCTAAATAAAACTGGTGCTGTGGTGTACCACACCTTACCAGTTACCACTTCTGAAAATAATTCCAAAAATTAAACAGTTCTGGTTCTGTGTGTGCACCCAAAATTCTAAAAATAGTCGTCTTGGGTCATTGACGACCACTAACCACGATTTTATTAATTCAGACAAATTCAACTCCCAACCGCCATTGTAACATATAAAGTTCTCATGCAGTGTACCAACGAAACTTTTTCTGAATAAAAACATGAATGTTCTCATGCAGCCTACTCGAGGACAATCTCTCTCTCGGCTCCTCCTCCTTCCTTTGCCCACTGCTTGATTCTATATTCTGTTTCAAACGCTCGGTTTCTCTCAGGTATGTTCCCTTCCTTTTCTCTCTATCTTTACATCATTCACACCGTTCATAATCGTTGTTATTCATGTTTTTCCTCCGAAAAAGTTTCGTTGTTTCACTGCTTGCGCATTGTATTGTGTTATAATGACGGTTAGAAGTTTGTTTTTAGTCTTTCGGGGTGATTCTGATCTGGGATTTGATTGATAGTTGCTACGGTTACGTGGTTATGGATTTGCACTTGTGATTCTTTTTCTTCTTTTTGGGCCCAAATATGTCCGTACAGGTAAGACCGAACCGAACCTGAAATTTTCGGTTCGGTTCGGTTGCTTTTAAACCATAGCCTCTTCTTTTGTAACCTACTCGTGCCGTCCCTCACCCCTGTCAGTTCACGAGTCTGCTCTCTCTCTTTCTGTGATCATCTCCGGCGACGGCAGCCATATGCAGCGGCGAAGGTGACCATATCCGACAGCGGCGACGCTCTCTGTGAACGACCCTTAGTCTCGAGTCGACTCTCACCTCGCCGAATCTCTTCATCCGTGGTACGTCTTGTATACAAACCCATGTTCGGGGATCTGCTGGTCGAATCAGTGCAGATGAACCTTGTGTCCATGATTATTTTATTCGATGGAGGTTTTTTTTTTAAGGTACTTCGTTTTCCGTTTTGTTATGCAAGACTCTAGGTGGGGATTTAGCGAATAGCCCAGAGCAATGTTGCGAAGAAACATTCGGCTGAGGAGGGAGTATTTGTACAGAAAGAGTTTAGAAGGCAAGGAGCGTTTGCTTTATGAGAAGAAGCGGAAGATTAGAGAAGCCCTTGAAGGTAACCCATATTGCTCGGTAAAAGGAGAGTACGAAGTAGGAGGATTAAATAACCCTTACTAGTCAAAAGAGTCACATAGACTTTCTAATTGATTTCTATATTGAACATATAATAGTTACAGAAACTATTAGGAGAACACCATCGTGGTACCCAAAATAATGGTTGTATTAAAAGTATTATGAGGAGTTTGAAAATTTGTGGTTGAAGGTTGGTCTATTTCTTCCCAACCACACTCTAAGCTCCTAAATTGGGAATGGTTAACTTTTAGCTCCTTGTTGATTTTTTTTTTCCTGTAGAGGGAAAACCTATTCCTACTGAGCTTCGGAATGAGGAGGCAGCGCTTCGTAAAGAAATTGAACTCGAGGATGATAATACAGCAGGTACTAGTTTATGACTACTCTTCAATTAAATGGGAAAATGACCACTTATTTCTGTTCTCGATCCTTCCTAACGAATTCAACGAAGCCAATGACTTACTTTTTGGGTCTTGAATGTGTCCTTAGGCAACATCAATGGTCTAAGATTCCCTGTTTCCTCTCTGTCTCTTTCAATTCTTTCATATTTCTTGGTGAAAAAATGGAGTTTAAACTTAAGAATTTTCATGGAGTATATTAGTTATAGTGTGCGGAAGAGATCTTTCTTCATTAGTTTAGCTGGTAAGTTGTGGAGTTTTTTTTTAAATAATTAAATTAGAAGGAAAGATAAAATCTCATTATTTATACGTCAAATTTCTATGTGATTAAATTCTTTGGTTGAAAACAAACATTGGTGGAAGTGTAATGACTTCAGTGTATGTTGAATCCAAAGTTCTTAAAAAAAAGGAAAAGGTTTGATGAAGTAATATTTTGGGTGCAAAAAATCTCAAATAATAATGGGTGGTTTATGGAATCGCTGGTATTTAATATGAAGGAGTCAAGAAATGTATTACAGTTCCAGTAGGGGTGAACAAGGGTGGATGGAGTTGGAAGATGTAGAGATGTTGGAAGATTTTAAGAGGAAGATGAGTGGAGGGAAGGTCGACGGAGAATTTAGTCAAAGAAATTCTAGTTGCTATGGGGGAAAAAGAGAAAGTGGAGAACACTTTGTGCAAGTAGTGAAAGAAAATTTGAGAGAAAATGTAGTGGAAGAGGGAAAAATCAATTGGGAGGAGGAGGATAAATATTTGGGTGAGGAACAGCAGGGGGAATAAAGTTTTAAGGGGAATAGTGAGGAGTTTTTAAAGGAAAAAGAAATGGATTGTTAAGAAGAAAATGGAGTGTGCTCAAATTGATTGGGAGCATACATTAATTGTAATGAGATTTTAATTCCATGATTATTGGTACACCATTGTGGAAGTGAAGATAATTTTCAGCAGGCTGGCAAGCTAATGGGGCAGCAGAATCCAATTATGGTCATGAAAAAGTCACATGGTGCCAAATAATTTCTGGTTAACATAGTTGGTGCATCACGTAAGCATTAAATCGGCAGAGTTAACGGCGAAGATGTACTAGACACAATTGAAAGCGTAGGGACTAACAGACACAACCTTTGAAGTTCAAGGACCAAATTTATAATTTGACATTTATTTTAACATGATGTTTTGTTTCTTATAGTAGAGGTGAAGGGGAAATATCAAAGTAATAGAAGGCAGGGAGAGTTTTTGCAATTTTTTAAAATTGAATTATTTGAATTTTTATTTAAAAGATCATTGCACTTTCTTATGTTCGCATTCTTAAAAGAATTCCTGAATCTTAATGACAAATTGTACGTGCTAGTTGGTTTCAAGTAATTTTTGCTAATATTTGATTGCTTTTTGGTGTGCATCAAATTCAGTCCCGAGGACCCACATTGATGATGAGTATGCAAATACTTCCGAAGTTGATCCAAAAATTTTGATAACTACATCTCGGGATCCAAGTGCACCTTTGACACAGTTTGCAAAGGTTGGTATAATCTTTCTTTCTTTCTTTCATATTTTTAGACTTTTTTTAGACTTTATTCTCTCCTTCATAATTTATGTGGTTGATAGATGCAAAAGGATAGCTCTTGGCCTTAACTGAAGTTTTACTGGCAATCTAAACACAGGAATTAAAAATTGTGTTTCCCAATGCTCAACGAATGAATCGTGGTGGTCAGGTTAGTGTTCATTTTGCCTACCTTCTTGGTTTCTCTATTATTTATCCATTTCTACATTTAGCCTTTAAGTTGGAAGTTATTATTCTTTGCAGTCAAATACCATAAGGGGCCTTTTGTGACTTGAGCCTTTCTTGACATAGGCATACTTAATTATATTATTTGATAGATAGTTGATACTTAATTACACTATTTATGGATGGCTTTAAATTAGTAGCATGTTACAGATACTTCTAAATTTTCTCATAACAAGAACCTTGGGTGGTTCATGTAGTCAAAGGAGCAAGTGGTTGATCCAACGGCTTCAAGGTTATGGGTTCTAAGTTTTTTGATAGTCAGATAGCTAGGCCGTTAACAACTCATGGGCTTTTTAATGCTAGATGTTGGAAATGTGAAAAATGTTTCATGAGATAAGCTAAGATGTCTGTAAGTTGTAAGTTGGTCTAGCCACTTTTAGTTGTGAAATGTTTCTAATACTATAGTTTCGGGAGCAAGAAAATGATTGAAACTATAGTATTATATAACTTGCAAAATAAGAAAATGTAGAAGAATAACCCTTTTCTCTCCAAATCTTGAGTACAGCAATTGTTAAAGTTCTCCTTTTGAAAGAACTCATCAAATTTTTACCTGTGACAAAGAAAATTGAATGTATGATGTGTTTTTGGTTAAGTGGTGGTGGTAGTATTCTTATATCCTCCTCATTTGTAGGGCCTTTTGTTTGATGAAAATGTTCTATTATTTTTCAGGTTATCTCAGAGATTATAGAGACCTGTCGTGCTCACGAGTTCACTGACGTTATTTTAGTTCATGAACATCGTGGTGTGCCAGATGGTTTAATTGTCAGCCATTTACCTTTTGGTCCAACTGCATATTTCGGATTGTTGAATGTGGTAAGTGTTATTTTGGAATTCAGTTTTTTACTAATGGTTTTTTGCTCCAGGCGGGGCTTGTAGGCTCATCTTTTGTATCCAATTCAGGTGACGAGACATGAAATTAAGGACAAAAAGGCTATGGGAACAATGCCTGAGGCCTATCCGCACATAATTTTGAACAATTTTACCACAAAGGTACCACACATGTTTTGAATGATACCATCATCTGCTTGTCATTTTACATATTTCATGAAATGTATATATTCCTTTCAACCACGCGTCCTTTAGCTTAACATTTGTATTGCATTAGCAATTGTTACATAATGTTAAAATGCTGAATTTGTATTTCTAGAGAAGAAAACAATGAAAGAGGTTGAAGGTGAAAACGAAAACTTTCTGATGTACATTATTATTAGCTATTTTTTAAATCTCTAAGTTATTTGATTTCAAAAGTAATTAGTCTACTATTCAGTCAGGATTTTCCTGTTTTTGACATGCTGGTACCAGTATATCTTATCATCATTTTATATTTTCTCCCTGTTGTTCCCATAAGACTCCATTTTTTCTCTTTCTATTTGCCACCATATTCCATGTTGGCATGTGTGTTTGTGTGGTTGCATGTTGAGGACGTCTATGTCTATACGTTTTTCCTTATGCTTATTGCTCATTATATTTTGATAATGTGTTCTTCAGTGTCTTTTCTAATTTGTATCTTTTATTATATTTTTCTGCACCTTTTACTATACATTGTCCAATTTTTTTTGTAGTTGGGTGAAAGGACAGCCAACATCTTAAAGCATCTATTTCCTGTGCCGAAGCCAGATACTAAACGTGTGATTACTTTTGCCAATCAGTCTGATTATATTTCATTCAGGTTGGTTCACTAATGAATTTTCGACCCGGTTGACATTGTTTTCTTTCTTGATTGTTTCATAAGTAGTCAACGTTCATGTTAGAGGCAGATTTTATTGGTGAAATATGGACCTCAAGTATTTATTGGTAAGATGGTAAAGAATTAAGGTTGGTGGATGCTTAAGGAATTTTGTATTATCCACCAACCTACTGACTAAATGGAAAATTGGGAGTATATCTGTTGTTTTTATATCAATTTCAGGATGCAAGAACCTTGGATTTAAATAGTCAGATGATAAAATTTGTGGTAGATTAGTAAGTTCTAAATATAAAAATGTATGCGCTTTTGACTAGCTAGAACTTCTTTATTCCTCGGTGGTTAATTACTTTTGCATTCAAGTATGGCTTTTGTTATTTCTCTTTCTCTGATTATATACGGATTATGAATCTGTGCTCAAAGATACTAGAGATCAACTCCCTATTACTCTTATTGGTAGAGAAGTTAAACAACAAAAAGGGTTCTTGACAGAGATGAAAGAACTTGACAACAATGGTAGGAAGAAGAGACTCATGCTCCCGTTTGCGAATCACAAGATAGCCTGGAATGCTTTTCTCTCCCTGATCAGTGAAACAAGAAAAGAGAGTGATAGAGACAAAAAGGGAGACCTCTGCTCCCCTCCCTCTCCCCCCTCTCATAAAGATTATATTCTGAAAGGAGAATCCCCCGCTAATGAGAGCTTTAAATACGGAATGGTTAACCCACCAAACAACCCATTCTATATTGACAAGATTTGGAGAGACAAATACCTTAAAATGGTTAAGTTCTTTTGTTGGGAGCTCAGCCACACCACAGTGCAATCAACACACAAGATTTGGTCCAAAAGAAGCACCCCCACATTGCTCTCTCTCCAAGCTGCTGTTTTTTCTGTTTTAAAGAAGCACCTGCACACCTATTGTTTGATACTATGGGAGCTGGCCATGCCCGAAGTCGTTACCTTAACCGCAAGGAGGGGGATGCCGAAGGCAGGGCTAGTGACTGTAGTGAAGTCGTAACAAGGTAGCCGTACTGGAAGGTGCGGCTGGATCACCTCCTTTTCAGGGAGAGCTAACGCTTGTTGAGTATTTTGGTTTGACACTGCTTCACACCCAAAAAGAAGCGAGCTACGTCTGAGTTAAACTTGGAGATG